CAGGAAAAAATGGTTTCCTTCTCACAGTGGGCAGAGACCATGACTGTGAAACACAGGGGATGCAGAGAGAACTTCTGCCATAATGGTTGTGTATTTACAGGCACACAATAGCTAAAGATATTTTTTAAGAATATGCAAAACGAAAAAAAAAAAGAAAACAAACAAACTGATACCTTAAAAAAGATTCTATTTGAACTCATTTCTAAAAAATGGATGAAACCATGCGAAAACATGAGGGTTTTTTTGGTAACTATATAGCTAAAGAACTTGATCCAGATTAGCCTGTGGTAAAAGAGTGCATCAACCTGACTTGTGATTGAACATCAGTAAAAGCAATTTTGTTGTAAAATCACAGCTTTCATCATCTCATTTTTTAATGCTCCCTCAACAGCTTTTTGGACTCTGATATTTTCTGCAGGACCTTGTTGTGTGTGAAGACACCTGACTAGCACTGGTCACAGGAAGATGCTTCTTCCAGAAAAACACTTGGCAATGTAAGGTTCCCACAGCAGTCCCAGTTGCTCTTTGGCTACATCTGTACCAATAAATTAAAAACACTCTAAGCTGTTCTCTATCACTGAGAGCTAAATCCTCTGGAATGGTCCACACAGAAATTAGTAAACCTCCAGCACTGTTCCAGCCCCATCTGTCCATTGGGGATGCTCCCATTAACTCTCAAAATATAATCAGGAATTATCTGGGGAGGTGAAACCGAAGCCATGTCAGGGATCAAGAGGACTATTCAACAGTACCTTTAAACAATACCTTTAAACAACTATGTCCTTGTGCATGTGCCTGCAACCTTCCACTATTTAATTTACTAAGTTATATATTATAGGGGCGGCTTTTGCACATTCGTGAATTATTTGAAGTGCCACATGAATGAGTCAGCATCACAGTTTAATGGGTCACACACATATGGGAGTGGTGCATTTACAGTTTGATAGATTTCTATGGTTCAGCCTTATTGCAAGATAAACTGAATGCATTTTCTAAAAAATATGAATTCACAAAAAACAGGACAAAGCTGCAATAACACCAACATAGTATTAAAATTACTTTTATACCAGAGATTGCCTCAGCTTCTGAAACAGCTCCTAGGGTAGGACAGATATCTTCTACAATACACCCCTTACTATTCTGGGAGTTAAATGCTGTTTGATTCTGTGTGAAAGACCCCCTACTGTGATCGTCAGCATCCTTTATGCCATAACATCTCACAATCAGTCTGAGGCTCATAAGTATTCTCCAAATTCCCACCCCCCCCAACAAAAGCAATTCCTTTCCCATAAAAAAGAAACAAACAAGAGAGATAACAGGAAAAAAATGCTGTGTTTCTTTTATACCCTCTATATTTAACCATGCTAGCAATGCTGAACTGGGAAACTTCTACATTTTGCTGTTGCTGATATACTGGTTACACTGGGGAGAATGGAGGTGCTCTGGTATAACCTGTCCTGAAAATTCTTTCCATACTTTTCCATTCCTTGCCTTGAATTATTTTTAAATGTGCTCTGAGCTACAGATAACATGAATTCCTTTTCCCAGGAGAACCACGAGAGCTTGCAGAGCTGTCACTTATTTCACAGAACTCGTTAATTGTTTGTTTAGTCTAGGGGGAAGAAGATTTTTATAACACTTTGGTTTAAAGAAAGGTTCCAGGAGTATGATTCCTTATTATGGTAGTGGCTATATCACAGCTTATTGTATTTTTTATCACCTCCTTTGATAAAAGAAAATAGCTTATTTTAGAATAAACTGTCAGTGGCATTGAATAGAGAGCATAATCCCTGCTCCAGGGTTTGCAGAGGCTCTAGAGATCAGCAGGAATATTTTTCATTGTCACAGGCTGATATTAATGCAGCATTTTATTTGAGAATTTCAGTGCCCAAAAGACAAAGGACATTCTTCAATCCCCCGAGGAGGGGAAGGTTATAGACTGGTGTCTGTTCTACATTTAGCACTTCATAGTTAACATGGGTCTGCCGGGTTTGTTCAGAATAGGGGCGATCAAATCAAGTACATCAAAATCTATGCTTGAAGTTGTACTTTGTGGTGCGAGAGGAACAAACTTTGCTGCCATATTAGATTCACAACACTTCAAAATACTAGTTCAGATTTCGCCCTGCCTTCACTTACAAATCCATCCTGAACTATGGAAGAGCCTAGTTGGTGTCTTCGAGTTAATGGAGATTTGTTCTTAGAGGAAGGTTTACTGAGCCCATGTACAAAACCAAACCCCAGTGGCAGGATAAAATAAAGAAAAAGTTCTCTGCAGGGGAGAAATTTAACATCTGTGAGGATTGCTGCACTCCTGCTGCTTTAATAACTGCCAGAGCTGACTTCACTGCTCTGCCCAGCCTATAAAAGGAAAATCCTCATTACCTATTAAAGAGTCATTCTCTTATATAAACAGATTACTCAGGATGCATATTGATAGTTGTAATTGTCCCTAGCGGAGAAGACACTATATTTTAATGTCCAGAAAATATATTCCACCCACCTGCTTTCTTGCAATAGTTAACAAAATAGAAAACGGAATATTAACCAGTGCTGGCATCTCCACTCTTCCTTATCAATAGGTTTTTTAGATCTGGGAAAAGTTTTATGACCTGTAAGGCAAGAGATGATTCAGACCAGTGGCTGAATTTAAAAAGATAATCACTTGCAAAATCCTCATAGTCAAAAAATTAATTCTTAAGGTTTTTTCAATACATTTGTAACACATTCACCTGAACAGCTGAATGCACAGGAAGCAGCAGTACCTCATAACCATTGCAAAAAAAGAAGCAATGTTACTCTGAAAAAAAAAATAGCCTTTGACTTTTATTGAATTTTTAAATCCCTTTTTTTTTTCTGTTTTGAAATCATACCAGAAACACATTTATCTAACTTTGGAAGCCAATAGACTTTGCTTTCATGAGGGAAAAATCTGTTTAAAGGTTGTTATTCTTCCTCTGAAGAAAATGGAAACAAATAATATCGTTTCAGACCAATTTACCATTGATGGGAATATTGGAATTCCTTGTATCCCCTCCCATGTGTTACATGGACTTCTAGTAAATTACATCGTGTTCAGCACAGCCCCAGATTGGGAATTACAAACAATACAACAAAAGCCTCCAGCTACCAGGTTTATAATGGTAAATATAATTTGCAGTAGATTACATTTTTCTAAAGCTATATTATTTTTAGCTAAAGAATGGCATGTGGAAAACAATTTTTTCTTATTTTCCTTATTTTATAGAGTATTACAAAAGTAAAATAAATGCTTTGCTGAGCAAATTAAGTATCTATAAAATGGAGACAAGTAATTATCTGCAACAGTGTTTTGGACAAATAACAAGTTTGCTATTTTTGCCATTTCCTGCTATATCCAAAATGTCTCAATATTTAACCATGATATGTCAGCCACATTCACTGACCAACTATTTCCAGACAGCTGCCTGAAAGGATAATTATTCTTTTTCTTTTCTATGGACTGCCAGGCTGGAATAGTGTTTACAGGTTTTGACAGACACCTTACAAAATAAAATCAATGTTTGCAGGAAGTAGACAGAGCACAACTTGCAAGCAACTAAGACGTCTTGTTCTATACCTGGTTATCAACTTAGGGCCCAGACACATAAGGAAATAATCCTTTTTACAAGACAGTTTAAGCAGTAAAGACTGAAAAACAGTTAATATATTTACTTCCATTACTAGGAATAAATACAAAAAATAAAAAAGGACATTTTTGCCAGTAAAAAGTGTAAAAGTGACAGCATTTTTAGTATCTAGAGGAAGTCACTATTTCCAGCCAACAAACATTTCCCACCAGGTTCGGTGCATCTGTTGTAAGTAATGAGGACCAAGAAAACAAGGCAGGGATTGCAGTCCAGAACAAGTGCTTTGGTTGTGCCTGCTATGATACTGGGGACAGAAAACATCTTCAATATCTTTTTTTAGATGTGATTGACAAGTTTAATTTATTTGATGTACTTCTTAGTTATAGGAATAGCAATAGTGCAACAGAAGGATGCTGCAGAGTTGCCGTGGCAACAAAGCAGTCAAAGTCAAGGCATGAAACATGAAGGGACTGGATACGGGGAGCGAATTCTCCCCTGGCATGGGAGAATGAGAAGTTTTACAACAAAAGGCAAATTGTAGCAATATAACAAGGCACTTGCCTGAGACACTGGTAATATCTAGAATATATGACTTCGAACGCCCGACTTTACAGGCCTCAACTTGCGAACGGCGATAGCAGTCAGCAAATTGTGGCATTCGTTTAGGAAAGCACAGAAGTTAACAGCCTAAATCTATATGATAAACCAGGACATCGGTACCCACTCCTGTGTCTTACGGCAGAGACAATGAAACCCAGAGGAAAACAGCTTTCACCCCTTTCCTGTAACACCTCTTGCTCCACACTACGTGCCCTGACACAGCTGAAGTTGCCCACTGCCAAGCTCCCTTTATTACTCCAAAGGTTATGACAGAGAAACACAATTCTCAACGCTCTCCTTCCAAAGCAAGTAATATTCTTGACAGATGGATGTAACAGCTTCCATTTTCATTAGCTTCATAATCGCTGGAAAGTGCCAGAAAAGCATACTGTATTTTGAGCAAGGAAATTTTCATGGCAATATTTTTAGGCCCCATTGGAAGTATTTTCTTGTAGCAGGCGCTTCCTCTGATTTCTTCACTGGAAATCAAATGTTAACCAGAAATGCTAAGCTATGCATACAAATGGCTAAGAAATAATTGAAATACATACAGTTACAACAGGATAAACTGCAAAGGACTCAGCCATCTGGAAATATTGAAATCCCTCCATGTTTCATTAGTTTGACTATTTCTGTGATGTCGGCACAGAAGGGAGTCAAATCTCCCAGGAGCGCACATCCCAGCTGGGCTTCCCAAGGCACTGTGCAGGGGAAAAATGACACTGTTTCAGGGAAAGGAAAGGACTGACCTTTTCTCGTCACCACTACTGCTCTACAGTGAAGCCAATCGTTGGCAGACAATGAGAAGAAATGTCACTTCAGGTGGTAGCCAGCTGCTGTGGGTCAGGTGAAAAGGAAAAAGGTTTAAATTCAATACTTCTTTTTGAGTTTCATTATGTCTCATGGCACCTGCAATTTGCAACAGAACAACAGTTCCTTTTTTACTGTTTATGTCTCTATGGAAGTTTGGAATCGTTTACACAAGGTATAAAGGAAACAATCCCAACTGTGACTTACAATGTAATTATTTGTGCTGTAGAATTTGCTTTCATTATAAAACATCTGCCCTGCTTTTAAGCATAAACCTACCTTTGAAGTGCTTTATATAGTTTATGTAATCCTAAAGTTTAAGAGCTCATCTTCTGTTCACTTTGCACATGGCTTTACGATGAGCAATAATAACACAATTATATTTCCCCCGTATCTCTCCTTACCAGGAGTGACACTGGATCAATAGTGTAAACTTCAGCCTGGCGCATCTCTCAATTTAATGAGTTCATCAAGCTGCATTAATCACTTCATGCTCAAATTGATAGCACCAGGCATCCTTGAAATGTCTCTTGATATTTAGCTACTACCCTTTTGGAGGGCTGTGGAGCTCATTCTGTAGCAACCATGGCAAAAGTGTCTCTGCCATGAGTCCCCCGAGCACAACAACTCACTAAAATCCAATAACCCTATAGGCTATATACTCTATTAACTTTTTATGCTCACATCCCATTCAAGGGATTCAAGTTATTCTGCATGACCACCATATCCTTTTCTACATGTGAGAAAGTTGGGAAGTGTCTTGACTCTGACATGACTAAGTAACATACTTATAACTAAGACTTCTACACATGTAAAATGATAAGTGGAGTACATGTCCCTGTGCACTGGCAGGATCAAGCACAGAACCTCAGTACCAAGACCCCAAACACCTCAAAAACTGAGCTGCTTTATCCAAAATAACACTCAAAGTACAGCATGAGCTCAGTCAGTTGTTTGGTAAAACAACTTTACCAAACGTAAGTAGCACAAATCTTCAGTTGAAGAAATTTTTGTTTATTGTATCTTATTATTTTAAATCTCAATCAAGTTCTAATGCGCATTTCAACATTTGCTTTCTTAGCTGTTCCAACAGAATTTCTTAATAAAGTTCATTGGAAATTCATTTTTATTCTTCTGGTGATCACCAGCCCAACTTCTGTAAAGAAACTAAAAAGTAACCTAGTACTGAAATTAGCTGTGTGCTACTCAATTACTCTATTTCTTCTTCCTTCTGTTTTCATTAAAAGTATGAAAACAAATAACTAAAGCATAAATACTTTCAGTCAAACTTTTTTTAAGAAGAAAAGTTGCTAAAATTAAACTTGACATGTATTAAGCAAGGCTAGACCACTTATTAATGAAACAACTTATAAAGAAATAAAGGTGCTGCTTTCTGATTACAAGTAAAACTACAAGGCAAATATCTGTTTTATGTCAACTCAACCACTACACACTTCACAATGTTCCATAATATATTAATACCTGTATACACTGGTTTTATTCTTTACAATGAAGCAAATGTTAAGATACCTCTCTTTTTTTTTTCTACTAGTGGTAACTAGTTTCTCCTGTTTACAAAATCTTTCCTTTGGAATTTCAGTCAAATTTTAAGATTATTTTTATTTTAGATGTGTAATTATCTGTCAAAGCACCTTTCTATTATATTTCAAAATCTGAGTGGGAACTTACCTGCGAAAACAGCTTTAAAAAACCATTTTATTCACTTTAGTGAATAAAGCTTTAGTGAACTTTCTTTGTTCACTTAGTTTAAGCAAAAAATAACTGTCATTTTTAAAAAAATACTTCCATTTAATTAATTCAATTTTAGGATTAAATTACATTTAAATTTACATTTGAATGCATACAGTTGGATGAATTCCAAGTAAATAAAATTTAGGAAAAAAGAGTTACCTAATGAAAACACAAAAATGAAAGCTCTGCATAAATTCATTTAAAGCTACACAAGTGATCATTCTCCTAAAAAGCAGCATAACTGAGTACTTGGTTGTAAAGAAACTGTTAAAAAGTCTATGCATTGAGAAATAACCTTTACTTAAGGGGGAAAAAATGATGAAGCATACAGTTTTACCTAAGTTTTCTAACAAACATTTCAAAGGAGCAGTATGTATGTCCTGTGTTTGTATCTGGCAGAGCAAGACACTGAAGCCACTGGCCTTGACTGACGTGGAGCCACTCAAATACAATGCAGAAACCATCTTTTTTCTCATTGCAGTGCAGCAAACCTGGGAGGATATTATTTTCTTCTTTCATTTGGTTATGACTAAAACACCTTTAGGAGCCAATGACAGTCCTGGCTGTGTTACAGTTTCTCTTTATTACAATGCTCTGGCTGCAGACACACAGGCAGGAGGTTATTCTTTTGAAAAGATATGGTATTTTCCTGAAAATAAAATAAAAGGGGAGTGGAGGGGAGACACATGATGTGAGGCCTTGGGAAACCTTGCTTTGTAGAAAGCTTAAAGTACAGTCAAGCTGGGACTGAAAACATTGCTTTACCATTCCCACTCTTGGGGAAGTGTGCCAGGTCCCAGAAAGACGAGCTGAAGTTTAAAGATAAATGAATTCCATCCTGCCAGGAGAAACCTGCAGCATTGTGTCCCTGCCTGCTGGGGCCAGCCCTGCCATGGCAGCTCCTCCAGCTGCCAAAACAAGAGATGAGCACATAAGTCTTGCTGCTGGATAAGGGAGGGATCCAGTCACAATTCCCACACCTCTGCTCCACGCTGCCCCAGAGAGCCATTATTGGCACTTGAGTTGAAGCAGACACAAGGTCCTTTTGTCTCTGCTGCTTGCTTAGCTTGAAAATTAAAAGAAGCTATTGATAGCAATTCATATGCACCAGGATGGCTGTGAGGGCAACTTGAGCATGCTAAATTGCAAGTAATAATTCACTGCTCCGTGACAGCTTAACAGAACATAATCACAAAATTTAAAAAACAGGATTGGGAAAAAGGACGAGAGGACATCAAGTCCTTCTCTCTGCTCTTCTCAGAGTTTCTATTTATAAGCTTTCCAATAAAATCTCTATTCAGGGATGGGTATTTAAAAATGCCTAAGACACTACGGGTACCTTCAATTTCTGCATGCAGGCACCTGCATTAAAAACAACTCTCTGTGCTCACAACAGTTGAATCCAAAATCTGTAGGTAAGCCTAATACACTTCTCATTTCCATACTAGATCAAATGGCACCTTGATAGAAATTACATGCACTCTAATGGATGGAAGCCTAAATTTTATAGACTGGACTTCACTTCTCTTATCTTTATGTTAAAAGACTTTGTGCCAGGAAAAACAAAATCCACTTTTCATACATGCCCTTACTGCGGAATGTCCATATCAAGAGCTAAATACATATTTCCATTCTGTTAGTGCTCCAAACCCCCCATTATCTTAGGAAGGGGGGGTTTCCCTTCTTATCTTTAGTTTCAATTTGAAAATATTTCTTGTCCATTTGTCTTATCTTTTCAGCTTTAAATCAATTTCAGCAGCTTGAGAGAAATGTGGATGCTCGGTGCAAAGATGAGGGCTCTGGTAAAAGGCTGAAAAAACATACTGGAGGGAGCCAAATACTTGAAGAGAGGGAGTAAAAGGAAGGAGACCAAAAGCAGAAAGGAAAAGAGGCAGATGGGCACATACTACACACGAAGTTCAGGCAAAAATAAAAACCATATCATATTTAATAAGCTCTGGGATATTTTGTGCTAAACAGAAATACGGCAAGTGGCATTCAGTGGCACAAATCCCTTTTCCAAAAGCAATGCTAATCCCTAAAATCTCAGACATCTGAGAGACTCCACACATCAGTGTTAAGCTACAACAGCAGAACAAACTGAGTCTTTTTAATTTTGTGTGTCTCCCCCCCGTATGAAAACACTCATTTAAATTGCCAATTCTCTCACATTATTTGTTGTGCTCAAACCTTATTATTCTCAGACAGCAAATTAGGGTTGAAAACACTTCTCACATTTGACTTCAACTCATCTCCCTTCTCTGCTCAGTTCGTAAAAGCGAGAGGGAAAAAGACATTTCACCTACCACCTCTTGCCTATTCCTTTTAAAATGACAGATGAAGCAGACTTAAATACACTCTGGATTACTGTGCAGAAGACTCTGTTTTTGCCATCAGTGCCTGAATGAGATGGAAAGTATCAACAGCAAATATATTCTTATCTGAGTTTTGGTATTACCCAGATGGTACCACTAGTCAGTAATTAATTTGAGTGAAATAAACCTTATTTTTCCACAATCTTGAGCTGGAAAAAAAAATATCAAAAGGTAAAACTCTTATCTGTGGGGCTTCTTTCTTACTCTTAGTGTGAGCAGTCACTATGTATTTTACTTGATATAAAAGAGCTTTTACTCACCCCCTCACCTCTGACTTTATTTCCAACTTTCCTTATGCAGCTGCTCCCTTACCTACCGTGATTGCAATTGGGGCCATAAAAACAGCACACCAAAGAACTTATACAAGGAAATTTATTGCCAAGGGCAACAACAACAGATACTCACTAATACTGCAAGTGAAACTAATCACATTAACCCTTATAATTACTACTGACAATAAGCACAGCTGTGAGCCAAATTGATCTCGCAGGGGTGCCCGCTATGGCATTGTCACAGCTGGCACCTTGCAGAGCTCAGGAACCAGGGGGCAACGAGTGGGAAGTCACTTTGCATCCAAGTTAGCATGATGAGGATAAAATACTGTCTCCTGAGTAATGTTTGCACGAATTGAACGAAAAGCAAATCCTAAGTGAAAACCCTGAGACCTCCAGATCCAGACAGTAAGGGAAGGGCCTGCACAGCCTGGCTGCGTGGGGTCAATAAAGAGCATTAAGCTCTTTTTTCTATATCACTGGTAAGAATCTTGTTCAAAAATGCTGTGGCTAACACAGAAGCCTACATTTCATCACTTTCAAGAGAAGTTGAAAGATACCCTGTCCGGAGATGTGCTATCTACAGCCTAGACAAAACTGAACAACACTTCCACAGTAGTTATTCTT